AGGGAGGGGACATGGATTGGATGCAGGGTGGGGCCAGGTTTTGGGGCTGTTCACACGGACGGACGGACAGAAGATGGGAGGGTGCGGCAATTTTGGGGATGCTGTGTTGCGTGTTGCGTGTGGTTGTGTGTGGTTGCGTGTTTACGTGTGTCTGGATGGATGGGGGAGGGGAGGGAGGGGCGGCGGCACTCACTGCTGATATGTGCAATGCAACGCAGTGGATGGACGGATGGATGGATCAGTGGATTGTACTTTCTATGGTCTGTGATGCATTCACACACACATGGATATTTCTTGTCAGTCAGTGCAGTGCACCGCACCCACCCCAGGGGTGTGTATGCGAGACGAGACAGCGGGCGAGGAGGCGCGCCCCGTTGCTCTCTGCCCACGCACCGACCCACCGCTTCCGATGGGACCATGGCATCCCAGCCATCCAGCCACTCCCTCCTCTCCATCCATCCATCCATCAGTCTCTTCTTGTTTCTTTGCTGTCGCATGGTTTGTTTTTGGGGGTAGGTATGGGTGGGTATATTGGGTGGTGAACGTTTCCCCTCTGCCCCGCCATCCTATGCCATCTATGCTGTCGTCCTTGTTCTTGTCTTTGTCTGTGTCTGTCTGTCTTCTTTATCTTACACACGCGCTCCTGCCTGTGGGGTGAGGGGAGGGATGGGTGAGGCTTTTTCGCTGCATATATACCATCAGTCAGCTCGTGCCTATGCCTGTGCCTGTGCAGTGCGTGTGTGCGGCCGGGATGGTCAGCTGCCCGCCTGCAGTGGGCATGCACACGAGTGCCGTGCATGACTCCCACTGAGGCGCCGGGCTGAGCTGTGCCGACACTCTGTCTGTCTCACTTCGCGGTATCTTTTTTTGTATGTATTGTTCTTTCCCTCTCTCTCTCTCTGCGTGTGTTGTGCATGTCCGTGTGTGTGTGTGTGTGTGTGTGTATGGCTCCTTCGACTTTGCCCACCCAATGAAGTGCACGTGGTTCTTGTCCGCCCGTCAAAGTGACTGACTGCAATTTTCGCAGCGACGGGAGGGACAGGGAGGGCGGGGGTGGGGGGGG